TTGCCAAGGTATCAAATTATTTATCAAGCATAGTTTTGCTCATATTTATTCAACACGTCTTTAACTTTATTTAGAGCATACTTCCAAGGGAGTCAGTTTATCACAACTACCATCCTACACTCTAGGTGCAAGGGAGCATACCTTCCAGCCTAAGCTAGTCAGGCAGAGTCATCATGTGACTGCTTTCATTAACTCATATGTCGAGACAACCATTTATTTAAGGGATTTTACAGGTCATGCCATCACACAGAGGAGTGTCCCTCTACAGTTATGCCGAGGAATTTATTTACAATTCAACACTATTCAAAACAGCAAAGAGTTCAATTTATATAGGGGAGACATGTGTGGAAAGAGGATTGACATCCACGGGGAACTCGGGTTGAACATTTTGTGCCGAGGCATGAAATGTGTTGTCGCCTGAAGGTGTTGTGTGTTGCAGGATTTAATTCGGAAAAGGCGACAGGTCCTCATTGGTAATCGGAGCATCTCATTGAAGAAAATATTCAGTTGTGCATCACGTGCCTTGTATAGCTGAAGAAGTCTGTATGTGACCTTCCAGACGCTCCAACTATTCTCGCATCTCTCTAGTAGATATGACCACGACTGCCATTCTTGCTGTGAAAATTGATTTTCTCCTCGCTCCAATCCCCATGTGGAGCATTGTCATCAAAGCTCATAAGTTCGGGCACCTTTTTTTTAGTGATGCCTTCCTTCGACTTGATAAAGTCCTCGAAAGACTCCTTAGGGACTTTTTCTTCCTGTACAAGCAATTATCAAATTGGAAAAAAGAAGGTTACCTCGGGTCCTCTTTACACACTCATGAATTGTTAAAAATATCTCCCTGGCATCAATCATGCGCTCGTAGATGATAGAGTGCAGTAGAATCAATCACCTCACCAATACTATCGTGTTGTGTGAAGTAGGCATCAACTTGCCTTTCAAAATGATTCCACAACTTGGTAACTGGCTTAAGGGCTCGTGGTCCACACACTTATAGTTGGGCGCATTCTCTTCAAACTTCCCCACCGAAACATAAATCTTCCAGCACACTACCATATGTTTCTTGATCTGCCTCGGCGATGATTGTTTTATGTTGATCCTCCACCTTGCCGAGCTTGAAATAGCGGTTTAAGGCCGAGGGGGTGAACCGGATAGATTTATCTCTCACATACATAGTGTGTTGGGATGGGTCACCTAAGTGGGCGTAAAACTCTCGGACCATTACCGGCGCCACTACCTTTGGATGCCGGGTAAATTTCTCTCATTTATGTTTTGTAATATGTCCAATACCTCCGGTATAAAGGGTTCTTTGCTAGCCTACGGGAATACAAAGCCGTCCTCCAAATAAACTTTTCGTTTCTGTAGGGTTTTATACTTCGCCTCAGCCTCGGCAGTTTGGAAACGCTCAAATCTTGAAGTCGCGACAAAGGATGTAGAAGCGCATGGATTCTTCTTGGATCTGGCCATGGTGTTTGTTGTGACAGATTGTAGGGATGAACAGAGGATTTTTACAGCGGCAATGGAGGCTTTTTCCTTAAAAGTGCTGTCAAAAACAATTTGATTAGGGTTTTCTCCCTGTCATGCACGAGCTTCATTCCTTAACTGCCACGTATACCCTAAATACAAAAAGAAACAAAAATATATAATAAAATAAAAATAAATAACTTGTGCAGAATAAAATAACATAGATTATTTATATACATAGTGAAAATTTTTGTTGCTAGGCAACCAAATTGTTCAGGAAAGAAGGGCAAACTTTTGTGCATCGTGAGGTAACGATGCCGATTTATCATGCAAGATGGGTGCTCCATTATATACCTTCAGTCATTGACCATTCAACTTAAAGGTTGACCCATTGTCCAAGTTCTTAATTTCTATTGCTCCATGGCTATGACTTGATGTACGATGAATGGTCCTGACCATCTAGATTTTAGCTTGCCTGGGAATAGTTTGAGTCGTGAATTGTAGAGCAATACTTGTTGTCCAGAAAAAAATTGCCTAGGCAAAATTTTTCTGTCATTCCATCTTTTCTTCTTTTCTTTGTAGAGGTGGAATTTTATACGCCTGAGCTCTAAATTCATCCATTTCATTCAGCTCCAATAATCTTCTTTCTCCAGTTAGTTGCACGTCCATATTGAGTTTCTTAATGGCCCAAAATGCTTTTTGTTCCAATTCCACGAGAAAATGGCATGCCTTGCCATATACTAGCTTGAATGGTGACATTCCAAGTGGCGTTTTGAATGTTGTTCGTTAGGCCTACAGTGCCTCATCAAGATTTGGCGACCAATCTTTGCATTTTGGGTTGGCCACTTTCTCAAGAATCTGTTTGATGTCGCTATTAGAAACCTCAGTCTACCCATTAGTCTGTGGATGGTATGCTGTAACAATTCTTTGATGCACCCCATATCTTTTCAGCGTATTGGCAATTGATTTGTCGTCAAAGTGAGTACCTTCATCATTGATAATTGCTCGTGGTGCTCCAAAATGTGTGAATATATTCTTATGTAAGAATTTCAACAGTATTGGAGTCATTATGAGATGTGGACACAACTTCAATCCATTTGGAAACATAGTCTACCACCAAGAGTATGCACATATCACCAAAGGACGAGGGGCAAGGTCCCATAAAATCGATTACTCATACTTCACAGAGCTCAACTTCCAAAATATTTTTGCCATGGCATCTCATTTCTCTTTAATATGGTACCAGTGCACTGACAACGATCATATGACTTATAGAATTCATGTGCATCCTTGAATAAGGTGGGCCAATGGAAGTAGGATTGAAGGACCTTTGTAGCAGTCCTCATCCCACAAAAGTGCCCTCCACATGGGGATGAATGGCAATAAAATAAAATCTCCTTATATTCTTCAGGGACGTACCTGCAGATTATTTGGTCGCCACATTACTTGAATAGGAATGGTTCATCCCAGTAATAGTGGTTTACATCATGTCAGAAATTTTTTCTGCCCTGGCTAGATAAATCTGGAGGCATAATACCACTAACAAGAAAGTTAACTATATCAGCGTACCATGGCACATCCATGAAAAATAAAATTTTATCATCAGGGAATCCTTTTGAATATCCTTCATGTCATGACAAATGTTTTTATTATCTAGCCTTGACAAGTGATATGCTACTTGGTTTTTAGTACCCTTTATATCATTTACATCTAAATAGAAATTCTTAGAGTACTAATATCCATCTAATAAGCCTAGGCTTTGCATCTTTTTTATTTACTTAATGACAGAGTGATCAATATGTACGATAACCTTAGTTCCTATAAGATATGACCTAAACTTATCAAAAGCAAATACCACTGTAAGAAATTCTTTTTCAGTGGTGGTATAATTAAGTTGTGCATCATTAAGGTTACGACTAACATAATATATGACATGGAAGATTTTACCTTTTCTTTGCCCTAGCATTGCCCCTATCGCATAGTCACTTGTATCGCACATCAGCTCAAAAGGAGCATCCCAGTCAGGTAGTACAACAATTGGTGCCGAAGCAAATTTTTTCTTCAGATCAGTGAATGCATTGGTGTATTCATTGTTGAACACGAACGATTGATTTTGTTGAAGCAGCAGACACTGAGGCTTAGAAATCTTTGAAAAATCTTTAATGAACCTCCTGTAGAATTCTGCATATCCTAGAAAACTTCCTATGCCTTTTACAGTGGTGGGTGGAGGTAAATTCTCGATTACATCCACTTTTTCTTTATCCACTTCCATGCATTGGCGAGAAATTTTGTGTCCCTACATAATTCCATCGGTCACCATAAAATGAAATTTTCCCAATTTAGCACAAGGTTGACTCCTCGTATCACTTCAGTACTTTAGATAAATTATCGAGGCATCGATCAAGTTATCGCCCGAGACGTAGAAGTCATCCATAAATATTTCCATGAAGTCTTCCACCATATATGAGAAAATGGCCATCATACACCTCTGAAAAGTTGTCGGAGTATTACATAGTTCGAACGACATTCTTCTAAAGATATATGTACCATAAGGGCAAGTGAATGTGGTATTCTCCTGATCGTCAGGTGCTATGGCGATCTGATTATATCCAGAATATCCATCAAGGAAACAGTAAAATGCCTTGCCTGCTAACCTATCTAGCATTTGATCACTGAAAGAGAGGGAGAAGTGGTATTTCTTTGTTGCCTTGTTGAGCTTCCTATAATCCATGGATATTCGCCATCCCGTAACGGTTCTTGTAGTCAAAATCTTATTATTCTCATTCTTAACCACGTTATGCCACCCTTCTTTGGCACACATTGCATTGGACTGGCCCATGAACTATCGGATATGGGATAAATCACTCCAATATCCAGCCATTTTATGATTTCCTTCATCACCACTTTTTTCATTATCGGGTTAAGTCTCCTTTGTGGTTCCACATAATTGTTATGGTTATCTTTTAATTGGATCTTGTGCATGCATATTGTAGGGCAGATTCCCTTTAAATCTGCCATGGTCCACCTGAGAGATTTTCTGTGTTGTGACAAAACATTCAACAAACTTTCCTATTGCTCGGGGGTTAGACTAGCAGAAATTATAAACGATAAAGTTTCATCACTACCTAAATAAGTGTATTTCAAATGTGATATAAACGGTTTAAGTTTTAAAGTAGGTGCATGTTGTAGTGAAGGTTTTAGTGAAATAAATTCATTGAAATTAAGGTGTTCGAATATCTTACCTAGTCTATCTTGAAGTAAACTAGAATTTTCTTCTTTCAATGAATATTCCTCAGACTCTGTACGTGCTCTGCTCTAGTATTTCTTTCATCTACTTCAATTGAGAAACTTTCACCTAGGCAAATATTTTTGTATGCTTCATTCAGAAAAATTTTACCATGGCAACAAGTATTGTGTTCTTCATATTGTAAAACATCGTCTTGGCAAAAAAAATTACAGTATTCCTTCCGGAGAATTTTGTCTTGGCAAAATTTATCATACTCATCAATATGTAAAAAATTGACTTCACTAAAATTTTATGTTCCAACTTCCTCCAATGAGTCAATATATTCAATGTAATGGCATTCATCAAAATCATCAACATATTTAAGAATGTTGAAGACATTGATCGTGACGCTTTGATCAACCATCCTCATCGTGAACTCTCCCTTCTCACAATCTATTAGAATACACCCTGTAACTAAGAATGAACGTCCAAGGATAATAGGGGTATTTTCATCGGCTTCACAGTCTAAAATGAGGAAATCAACTAGAAAGATAAACTTGTCCACTTTAACAATTACATCTTTAATTCTACCCTCGGGACAAACATGTGATCGATCCACTAGTTGTAAAATCATAATGGTTAGTCGAGCATTACCCATTCCAAGCTTCAAAAATATGGAATTGGGAATCAGATTTACACTTAACCCTAAGTCAAAAAGAGTTCTTCCAACATATCTATCACCAATGGAACATGGTATAATAAAGCTGCCAGAATCTTTTTGCTTTGGCGGAAGTTTACTCATTGCCGAATAATATTCTGTTGTTGTGGAAACAATATCTATTCTTTCTATCTTTTCTATTCTTTGTGACAATATCTTTTAGAAATTTGGCATAGGAAGGCATCTGCTCTATGGCTTCAAGTAATGGAACATTAATATGCAGCTGATCAAGGACATCAACAAACTTTCTGAACTGATTATCGTCATTATGTTTCTTCAACCACTGAGGGAAAGGTGGTAGAGGTCTAACTTCATCCGCTATAGGTGGTGAAACAACTTTTCCTTTGGCAAATAATTTTTCACCATTATTGTGTTGACTTGTCGAACCCTCGTTTCTTTCCTTCTCCTTAGCTAGTTATGCATGTTCAACAATCTCAGCTTGATTTTCAGGTTCTTTATGTGTGGTGCTTTGGCTAAAATTTTCTGGTTGCTTTCCTCCAAGCTTATCCTTAAGATTAATCTAAGTACCACTCCTCAACGTTAGCGCAATGCATTACTCTTTTCCAAGAGGCGTAGTAACCTGAGTGTCACTAGGGAGTCTTCCTTGTGGGCGTGAATGTAATGCCGTAGCGATTTGTTCCACTTGATTCTCCAATGCCCTCAACGATGAGATATATCTTTATAATAGAGCTACTTGGCTTTGCAATAGATTTCCTTTATTATTGATTATTGATGAGTGTTCGTGTATCAAAGTCTTTGTTGAAGCCATGAAATCTTTTGTTGAGGCCATAAATTCCTGAAATGAAGCTTCAAGAGTGTTAGAATTTGAAGAAGAAGTGTTACTTTTATTATTACCTTGCCATGTCATCTGTTGATGCTGTGAACTTGAGTATTCAAAAATGTTTTGTTGTGGCCTGTTAAAATTATCTGCATAATTGTTATTGTTAGTCCCTTGATTACCCACGAAAAATTTGGATGTTGTCGCCATCCAGGATTGTATGTATTGGAATAAGGGTTGTTGTTGTTGCTTCTATTGAAGTTGTCCATGAAATTGATAGACTCCTGGTTTTCTGGGCATTCACTCTCATAATGGCTTCCTCAGCATAAACTGCATGCTAAGTTAGTTGCCTTGACTTCTTTCACCTCACTAAAACGGTTCAAATTTTTAAGCATATTAGTTATAGTAAAAAGTTGGGCAGAAGCTGAATCCTTACTATCAAGTTCATAAGCCTCAGATATTTTTCTGCCGGTTCCAAGTCTTGGAGATGGGAATTGATAGTTATCATTGGCTATTCGATTGAGGATATAAAAGGCTTCCTCAAGTGATTTGTCGAGAAAAATGCCATTTGTCGACGCATCTAAAATCATGTGAGTAGGTGCATTGACTCCATTGTAAAACATCACGACTTGAGTCCAGTCATGGAATCTATGGTTAGTGCACTTACGAAGCAATCTTTTATATCTTTCCCAATACTAGCACATAGATTCCTCATCGCCTTGGAGAAAACTTGAAATGTCATTGCGGAGCTTGGTATGCATGTTGGGCGTGTTGTAGTGAAGCGTAAAACTTTTGCAAAGTCAGCCCAAGATTCTATTGATCAAGAAGGGACTCCACTAAGCCAAGATCTTGCTCGACAACATAGAGAATAAGGGAACAATTTAAGCTTCAACACATCTTCATGCACTCCTTGTTACCTGAACGAATCGCACACTTCAAGGAAGGCACGGACATGTTGTCTAGCATCCTAATTAGGCGAGACACCAAATTGACCGATGGAGTTTAGTATGTTGAACATCACCGGTTTAAGTTCAAAATGGGTTGCCTGTATTATAGGTGCCACGATTCGAAGGTTGAGATCGTCAAGAATTGAATTCAAGTGATCTCGTATTGCTCGTGATCTTGCAGCATCTCTAGGAAGATTATTTTTCGCGACATCGGGATATGCCTGATCTCCCATATTATTGTCAGCTTGATATTGCAGTTGATTCATATAATCTCTAGCACGTTGGTTACGTTGCCTTTGTCTGAATGATTGTTCAATCTCAGGGTCGAATGGTTTTAATGGTTCACCAGCAGATCTCAGGGTCATACAACGAAAAAAAACCTTCAAATGAAAATAAGAAAATAAACAAGTTAAACTAAATAAATAAATTGTGACAAGAAATAAATATTTTCTATGGCATAAATTATCAAAATTCCTCAAGTTGCCAATCCCCGGCAACGGCGCCAAAAACTTGATCGCTTGTGAATGTATATGCTGAGGCAAGCAGATATGTGCAAGTATACACAATTGATATAAGTAATATAATAGTAAGTAGAGTTATCGTCTCCTCAGGGATTGGTGGGAATTATTGATGTTTTTCTATAGCTAGAACTAGGTATCACGAACTAGTCCTGAAATTCTTGTCGGAAAAAAAAACAAGTAGTACCAAAGGAAATAAACGAATGGGAAAGTACTGTCTAGGCAAGAAATATTGTGACGTTGGTGTGCAGAAAAGTTTAGTCGAGGTAAAGAAAAATTGCAAAAGTAAACAAATCAAAATTATTAAGGTAATTAAAAGTGTTGGGTTCAATATATTCAGAGAAACCTCACACAGATAGACTTCTTTACAGAGCATTTACGTTGGTTTTGCTAAGATGAAAAGTTATTCTATGCCTAGAATTACTTAGTGTGCTATGCTTAAGTTACCCGATAGGATTACTGGAGTATTCAAGAACGGTTGTTACAGTAATACTACTCAGCGTGAACAAAAACCCTTGGTTTTTCAAACTGTTGTTACGGCAATACCCTCAGCGTAAATTGTAATCGTTGTTTATCTTACTCAAGTAGTTACCCCTTTTAGTCGAATGAAACTCTCTCCTTATCTCTAAAGCAAATTAGAACCTCACCATCCTGGATCAATCTCATTGTTCACGTAAATCTTCCCTAACTCTCTCGATATTAGACATCTATTCCTAGAAGAATGTAAATCTCTCAAAAGCTCTTACAAAGTCTAGGAATGTTTTGTCTAGGCACCAGACAATCTCTCAAAAACTCTTACAGTGTCAAGGTAAAATATTAAAACAATGAACAAAATAATATTAAGCATAAACAAACTTCTTCATTCAATAACAACAAAAAATGTTTCATCAAAACCATAACCAACACCAAGTAAAGCAGTTCATGGTACGAAAAATATCATCCAAGAGTAAACATTAAGTACAAACCCTTTAAATGAATTAGAAATTAAGAACTTATGAAGAAACACTCCCAAATAGAGCTCTGTCGTGATATTCTGACCACCACCATGCTTGCTCCAGTGGCCAACCTCTCTCGAGGGCCTAGCCGCTACTCCCGTGAAGTCCGACTATAGAGGGCACCAAAGATGGTCGAGTGAGGGAACAGTGGAAAATAATGTGTTGCAGCCGCTTACTCCAAGCCTCAGGTAAATCCTCTCCTTGCTTTCCTCTCTTCTGGGCGACTATAATGAGGTATTTATAGTGGGAACTTATAGGGTTTTGTGTCATTAGAAATTTCCTAAATACCCTCGTTGACTTACTCATGTTATGAATGGAAAGGCGGTTGGAAGTGGTCAATTTTCTTGAAGGCCATGATTGTACGTGAGAATGAAGTAGTTGTTGAGCCACGACAGATCTGCAAGATAGATCTTTCCTTGGCAAGATAAATTTTTTTCCTCACTATTGTCTTCTTATGTTCCTCTAGCCATGGGAAATAGTTTTTGTCTCAAAAAATAAATTATTTCTTAGTTATTTCCTGCATCAACAAATCCAACACAGAACCTTCCTCCTCAGCAGCATTAGTTGAGCCAAATAAATCTTGCCTAGGCAAAACTTATCCACCTCATGCAAATATGACCTAAGTGCAACTAAAATGCTATGACAACGACTTTTAGACATACAATAACTTGAGTAGAAAGACATAAAACATAATATTTTTACGGAGTTATCAAGCATCGCGAGGACGATGAAGAAATGAGAGGAGAAAGTGGAGACAAACCGCTCACTCCTGACAGGTGGTAATTCATTAGAATACAAGACTCTTAGGATTGAAGGTAGTCATTTATTATTAAATTGTGTCATAATTTGGAAAAATTATAAATTTAAATTTATCATTCCCTCTAATTGTATCTATAAGTGACAATGATGATGGTACCAATTAGGATTTAGAGTGATATTACCTTTTTTGTCTTGAAAGTTGAGTTTCATTTTCCCACAGATGAATTTGTGAAAGATGCTGTTGAAAACATTTTGATATTTCGATATAAAAAATTAAGTTAAATGAATTTTAAGATTTTCCAAATAATTTTTCTAAGTATATTTGATAGATAGATAGAATTATTCAAATATCAAAACATTACTCCAAATCTTTCAAAGATCATTTTTAATCCTTACTCAAAGTGTAAAATTAAGTTTTAAACTTAAAACAATTTCAAAATAATTTTATAAAGTATTTCGAACCATTTCAAAGCCAAAAATTCCAGATTGCTCAGAGGGAACCGATTCCCCCCCAAGGGGGTACCGATTCCCCCTGAATGGTTTGGCTTCGAGAAAACCAGAATGCTCGTAGGGAACCGATTCCCCCCCAGGGGGTACCGATTCCCCCTTTGTATAACGGTCAAAATATTTAAATTTTACACTTAGGGAACCGATTCCCCATAGGGGGTACCGATTCCCCCATGCTCCAAACTGTTTTATTAATTGTTTTCACACTAAAACGGCTATATTATTTTCTCTAATCATCCCCAACGTTCAGAAGTGATTCAAGGTGTATTTAAGCAAGCTTAGAAGACATTGATCAACAACAAGAAACATCAAGCAATTAGAATCAAGAGAGAATCAAAGAGAAAGCATCAAACCTCAAGTTTGAGCATTTCAAGCCTATTTTTCATTCAATATTCATTTTGCTTTCAAGAACACTTATTGTGCTCAATTTTATTTATTCTTGAGTGTTCTTTCTTTGTTCTAGAATTGTGCAAACATATTTTCCTTGTGAGGTTTTTCTTGTAAGTTTGCAAATTTGTATTTCACTTTGAGAAAAGAATGTTCTCAAGAATTGGGGTATATTCTTGAGGGAGGTGTAAGG